TGGCAGCTAACGACGACAAACACTTCAGAGTATACTCCCTCACATAAAGAACAGTTAATGTGGTAGGCTATTAACTGAAAGGTTGGAGGTCCAAGTCCATCCAGATGTGCCTCAGAAGAAAGGCCTGGTGATCTACTTTTTAAAAATCAGCCCTTGAAAACCCTGTGGAGCATAGCTCTACTCTGACACACATGGAGTCGTCATGAGTGGGCTTGATGGCAACTGGCAACTGACTAAGGAGTGAAATACCTCTTATCTCTTAGAGGTACATTCTGAGATAGTTACAGGGAAAACATTATGATGAAGAGGATTCACTTCAAAGAAATGTGGAATGAGGGAGGGAAGAATGGATGGGGATGGAGATGAAGCAAGAGGGAACAAGGATGGAAGCTAAGTCGAGAAGGGCCCTGTGAGTATGATCATCATTAATCATTATCTCTTCTATTTTTATATTTTTTACATTTTTCTATAATAAAAAGTTACAGATACCACAACCCTGTCACATTCTCCACCCCTGGTTCCTGGATCATAAGAATTACGCTCCACCTCTGAGACGTTAAACGGACTTTCTGTATCAGTCCTATCACTGCGTAACAAATTCCCACACACTTTGCGGCTTAAAACAACACAGATTTATTCTCCTGCAGTTCTAGAGGTCACAGTCTGAAATCAAGATGTCGACAGGCCTACGTTCCTTCTGAGGGCTCTGGGGGAGAACAGTCTCCTTGCTTTTTCCAGTTTTTAGAGGCCACCGTCACTCCTTGGTTCATAGCCCCTCCATCTTCAAGACCAGCAGCACAACATCTTCTCTCCTCTCTGGCCTCTGCTTCCCTTAGTTGGGCCTACCTGGGTAATCCAGAATAATTTTCCATCTCAAAGTCCTTAATTTAATCACATCTGCCAAGTCCCCTTTGCCATGTAAGGTGACATATTCACAGGTTCCAGGGACTGAGATATGAATGTCTTTGGGTGCTATTATTGTGCCAGCCACATTCTTCCTTTTCGCTCAACTGCTCCTCCCCCCGATTGTCTCATGCTCACTGCCCCACTCCATTCGGTCTCCAACCAAAGGCCTCCCTGACCACCATGCCTGAGACAGCACACCCTGGCCCACCCTGTCAGTCTCCTACACCATCTTCCCTCATGGTGCCTGACCATCACCCCCATATTTTGTTCGTTTCTCTGTGCTGTTCCCTGTTATGTGAGCTCCACAGGAACAGGGGCTCTGGGAGACTGCAGACCCCCCAGTTCGGGACAGTACCTGGCACACAGTAGGCACTCATTAAAATGTACCCTCACTACCAGCAGCCAAGTGAACCCACCTTGAAGGTCAACATCACCATCCATCAAAGCCAAGGGTTCCATCTGCTCATCTCCTGACCCACCACACCAGCTGAAATCTTCCCCTTTCATTCCACCTGGAGTTCCTGGGTGGTGTGCAAATGATTACTGTGCTCGACAACTAACTTGGTCCAAGTTCACCCAGAGGTGCCTCAGAAGAAAACCCTGGCAATCTACTTCTGAAAAATCAGCCATTGAAAACCCGATGGAGCACAGTTCTATTCTGACATACATAGGATCACCATGAGTCAGAGTCAGCTCAGCGGCTACTGGTTATTGGTTTATCCCCACAGATTCCCCTCACACGTACTAGGCAACTCGCCACGCCCAGCAGCCTATATCAGAAGCCCCCACCTCACCCATCAGCTGACAGCCCTGAAGCCTGCAGGCCACCATCCCTCCCTCAGCGGCCCACTGAGGCAGCTACTAAAAAAATAGAAAAAGGAGGCCCATTGTCGACAGCTCAAATTCCAACTCATAGCAACCCTATAGGACAGAGTAGTACTGCCCCATAGTGTTTCCAAGGCTTTAATCTTTATGGAAGCAGACTGCGGCATCTCTCTCCCATGGAACAGCTGGTGGGTTTGAACCTCCAACCTTTCAGTTAACAGCCAAGCACTTAACTACTGTGCCACCAGGGCAGCTACAAGTGACCCTTATTCCCTGTTATGGGAGCCCTAAGGGGAGGGAATGGGCAGAGAAGATTCCAAGGACCGCTTCCCAGAGGAGGAAAAGCTGGAGCTGCTGCTGGAATTAGCCAGGGTCTCTCCCATCAGCACACAGATAGCCTTGAGTGTTGCTCATGTTTCAAAGAGACCTGCCCAGAGTCCACATCCCTCCAGGTTCTGAATTATTTCTCTGATCCTCTTCACAGTAAAACTTTTTTAGAGAATTACCTACGTTGTCCGTGCCTCCAACTGAATCCTGCATCCATGCTGAGGGAGTTTCTGCCCACCAGGCTTCCAAAAGATCACATGACCCCAGGCTTCTGAGGGCCACTTTCCTGCACTCCTACGACTTGTTTGTACTTGGCTTTCCTTACACTTGACCACCGTTGACCTCCTGAAGCCTCCTCTCTTTTTTTTTTTATTAGTTTTTTTATTGTTGTAATTTAAGTGAAAGTTTACAATTCAAATTAGTCTCTCATACAAAAATCTATACATACATTGTTATGTGACCCTAGTTTCTCTCCCTGTACTGTGACAGCACACTCCTCCTTTCCACCCCGGATTTCCCGTGTCCATTCAAGCAGCTCCTGACCCTCTCTGCCTTCTCATCTCACCTCTGGACAGGAGCTGCCCATTTAGTCTCATGTATCTACTTGAGCTAAGAAGCACACTCCTCACGGGTATCATTTTATGTCCCACAGTCCAGTCTAATCTTTGTCTGAAGACTTGGCTTCAGGAATTGTTTTAGTTCTGGGTTGACAGAGAATACGGGGACCATGCTTTCTGGAGTTCCTCCAGTCTCAGTGAACCCCCCTCTCTTGACCCTCTAGACTCCCCTTCTCTGGCTGTGCTTCCTGCCACACGTCACCTCTTCTGCAAGCCTCTCCCCTATTGTTAGCTGCTATCAAGTCACCATGACCCATGGTGACCTACGTCTAACAGAATGAAACATTGCCTGGTCCTGCACCATCCTCATAATCATTGGTATGTTGAGCCCATAGTCACTGACCCTCTGTTTTACCAAACATGATGTTCTTTTCTAGCAATTAATTAGTCTTTCCGGATGATGTGTCCAGAGTAAGCAAGACGAAGTCCTGCCATCCTAGCTTCTAAGGAGCATTCTGGCTATACTTCCTCCAAGATGGTTTTGTTCATTCTTCTGGCAGTCCATGGCATATTCAATATTATTAGGATTCCTCGGCCAACTGCCGAAGACCCCTTCCCTTTTCTCATCAAGCCCATAGTTTAAATGCCACCTATATGCTGATGGGAGCCCTGGTGGCTCAATGGTTAAGAACTTGGCTGCTAATCAAAAGGTTGGCAGTTCAAATCCACCAGCTGCTCCTTGGAAATCCTATGGGTCAGTTCTACTCTGTCCTATAGGGTCGCTATGAGTCGGAATCACAACAGCAACAGGTGTTTTGTTTATATGCTGATGACCTCCAGATTTGCATATGAAGCCCAGCCCCCCATGAGCTCCAGCATCAAGTATCCAACTCAGTTTGCATCTTGACATCTCCACTCAATTTTAACTCCATCTCAATTTCAATTATCGATTTTCGAATAATGACAAAAATAATAATAACCCTAGTCTTCCCCATCCATTCAATGGAACCACCATCTATTCAATTGTTGAACCATATATCAGGATTCTGCCTTGATTTCCCTCTTCTTCTCTACATCTAGTTAATCAGTAAGTGCTGTAGGTTCTATCTCCAAAGTGGAGCTTGAATCTACTTCTCTCTACCCACTTGGCTATCACCCCAGACTCCAGCACTCTGTCTATCATCTGCATAGCACTTTTCCCGACTGGAAGTTGCACAGTTATTTCTTACTATAAGCTCTTTAATGGCAGAGGCCAATCACATACACACAGGACCTGGTATATACTTAAAACCAAAAAACCAAACCCATTGCCATGGAGCTGATTCCGACTCATAGCGACCCTATAGGACAGAGTAGAACTGCCCCATAGGGTTTCCAAGGAGCAGCTGGTGGATTCGAACTGCCGACATTTTGGTTAGCAGCCAACAGCTTAACCACTGCGCCACCAGGGCCCCGGGTGTATACTTGACACGTCTATAATCACATTATACCCAGAACCTATTATATACTTTGCACCCCTACAATCACGTAACACCCAGCACCTGGTATATACCTGGCAGCCCACAATCATGTACACCCAGCACCTGGTATATACCTGGCAGCCCACAATCATGTACACCCAGCACCTGGTATACACCTGGAAACCCACAATCATGTACACCCAGCACCGGCTATACACCTGGAAACCCACAATCATGTACACCCAGCACCGGCTATACACCTGGAAACCCACAATCATGTACACCCAGCACCTGGTATACACCTGAAAGCCCACAATCACGTACACACCCAGCACCTGGTAAACACCTGGCAGCCCACAATCACATACATCCAGCACCTGGAATACATCTCCATTCCTTTCCCCCAGCCTACACTCCCAATTGGAGCAGAGCTAGGCGTTTCTTTCTCTGTGTTTCTATGCAGCACCCAGAGCATTCTTTGGCTATCTAGGTTGAGCATAAAATACCAACGGCAGTTCCAGGTTATTCCTGTTGTCCCAGTATAAGTATTAATCATGCCCTTTTCACTCTCAAAATGTCCTAATTTGAACAATAAATCATAAAGGCATCCTATTTACACACCATGTATGGCAAACATTTGGCACATTCTCTAGTAGGTTTCCCAAGAGCAAAGAGTATGATCTTTTCACACATGTTTATAGCACCATCGTCTAGTACAGTGAATGACACATACATAAACACTTGTTAAATGAAAGAATGAATGCAAAAATGGCCCATTATGAGATCAGAATGGATGAAAGAACTAAGTGATGTTCTATGCCCATGAGCCAGCTATTCCCATAGTCTCTGTGGTCCATGGACCATCTAGCCTTAAAAAAATCCCTAAGCCATTCCAACGCCATCTTGAAAGAGTCTAGTTGATTACCTTCACACATGCGGTTTGGCTTCAAGGGAGATGAGGTCAGGAGCTCCTGGGGACAGATACATTGGTAGGAGCCCTCCACGTTTAAACAACGTTCCCTTCCAGAGCAGGCATTGAGTTCATCGTAGAGACATTCATTTATGTCTATGGAAGAGAGAATAGTTCAGAACATTCACTAGAATTGGAACCACTTTCCCATTCTCATTAACCTCCAAACAGGTATCCTCCATGGATTTGCATGACATGAACTGAGGAGGTCACTGGGCAGTGGCCCTAAGGGTGACTAGTTAAGCCATGTCTCAGAGAACCTCATACAGCCCACTGGTCTACTTGTCCAAGCAGTGCACATGGCACACTCACCTTGACATCAGCATATGCCTTTAGGTGGCTGCTGTTGCCTAAGCAAATTATTTTAGGGCTGTATTGAGTCTAAATGGTCACAACATGATGGAATCAAACTCTTATATACAAATCTTGTGAATGAGCAGCTTTCTGAGCTGAGAAAGAAAAGAGAGTAGCCCCAACATGTGGAAGCTGGCCTGGCATTCACAGCCTGACCAGGTCATTCTCTTATTAGGTATAAACCACCTCACAGAACACCATGAGAGAGTGGGACAAAGCAAGGTCATTTTGTAATTTTGTCTAAGCACAAAAACAGAGTCATTGCATCACCCGCAAAATACCAAACACCCCTCTCTCTGGGCCAAAATGAACAACTCTACTTTATCAATTACAGTGTTACTCTCATGACAGTCACCCCTCCCTATATATAAGAGTGATTAAGATGCCTAATCATAGAATTAACTCCACTTTCTGATATCAGTCCTTCTACAGTGAGCCCCACTTCCTGAGACCCTCCCCCAAATCACCCAGCCAAAGCCCTAATCCTACAGTAGGCTCTTTCTAACACCCTCTTCTTAAGATGCCCTACGGTTCCCATGGTGTGTGTTCCCCCTTGAACCCAACTTGGTCAACTACAGATGTGTTCCTGTGGTCTTGGGCTGAAGGGCATGGACAGAACAAAAAAGGTAAGCACTTTGCTTCTTGGTACTAGAAAAATTCATCTTAGTTTTCAAGGACGTTTGTGGATTCTGAAGGAAAATAAATGTGATTGCTACAGTGCCCACTGGTCTCAAAGCCCTGGCATCATTCTATGTCATCTTTAGTGCCATGGTAGAAGCTTCACCAACAGGAGCAGCGACTCTTTCACACAGAGCAGACATCAGCAAACTGTGGCCCACCAAATGTTTTTGCAAATAAAGTTTTATTGGAACCCAGCCACGACTATTTGCTTCTGTATTGTCTATGGCTGCTTTCAAAATAGTATGGCAGAGTTAAGTAATTCAGACAGAAACTATGTGGCTGCAAAGTCAAAAATATTTACTATCTGGCCCTTTTCAGAAAAAGTCTGCCAACCTCTAACAGAGAGTAAAAATGAAAGAGGAGGAGAATGAGAAGAAGAAGGGGGAGAGAAAGAAGAAGGAGAAGGAAGAGAAGAGAAGAAGGAGGAGGAGGAAAAGAAAGAGAAGGAGAAGGAAGAGGAGGAGGAGGAAGAGAAGAGAAGAAGGAGGAGGAGGAGGAGGAGGAGAAGGAGGAGAAGGAAGAGAAGGAGGAGAATAAGGTAGTTTCTTCCAGGCCACATCTGAGTGCTCTACAGAGCACAGTTTTTACTTTGTGCAAATTCTTCTCAAAGAGCCTGCTCAGTACAAGGACGTCCATGGTGAGGATGGGAAAGAGTATGCCATTTTGGAACCCAAAGAACTGAAGAAACAAGTTCTTGTGTTGTTCTAGGATTTGGGTAGAAGGATAAACCTGCCCAGAGAGGAGTGAGAAAGGCGTTGAAAGGGTGTGGAGGAGAAACAGAGTGGGGAGAAAAGATGACACTGGAGAAAAACAAAGTCTCTAATCTTTACCTTGGAACTTGGAGTTTAAATTTGGCTTGGGTCACTATGAGCTAGAGATGCATCCAACCTCACCCAAAAGACCAACCAACCACACCCAAAAGACCAAAACCAAACCCGTTGCTGTCGAGTCGATTCCGACTCATAGCGACCCTATAGGACAGAGTAGAACTGCCCCATAATTTTCAAGGAGACCCCGATGGATTTGAACGGCCAACTTTTTTGGTTAGCAGCCATAGCTCTTAACCACTATGCCACCAGGGTTTCCAAAGCACACCAAACCTGCAGGATTCACACACTTGAACCAACTATTCTCCCACTCAAGAATCTAAACCTCCTTAAAATGTGAAGGACGAATTTTTAGCTTTAGGACCTAGCAGCCTTCCGTTTTGCTGTTCAGCCCCACGTTGCAGCCTCCCCCAGAGAGAGCACAAAGGGAAAGCACAACCTTGCACCTGAACGCTGACCACTTCATAGACTCTCTGCACGATGTTGTCCAACAGTGCAGAGATGTTGGCCACGGGCAGTGGCTGCGACAGGCCCAGCAGCAGCTGTGACACCGTGATGAAGGGCTCCCTGCTGGCTGAGTACAGATGGTGGACAGTGGAGTCCATTGGCTGCAGGGCATTCGTGACCTGTGGAAGCAGAGTCAGCATTTGACAGATGAGGAGCCTGCAGTTCAGAGAAGTTAAAAGTAGTGGTTCAAGGTCACTCAGAGGATTAGTGGCAGGCCTCAAGGTGAGTGATCTTTACACCGTAGGCCTGTTAGATCAATAGGATAAAAAAATAAGATGCACACACATACACATTCACACATACATGCACATACAGACATACACACACTCACACACATAGACACCCATGCAGACATACATGCACACACACTCAAACACTCATGCATACACATTCACACATATGCATACACTCACTCACATACACACATACATATACACAGATTCACACTCCCACATACACACATATACACTCACATGCACACACATATATACATAGACTCACACTCACACACACATACTGTCACACACACATACTTACACAACATACACACGCATGCATGCACACACACACTCATATACATCCCATTCTGCTCTGCACAAAAGAACCTCAACAATATCTTAACATTTGAGATCATCCCAATAAAATTTCTACAAACCAGAACTGCAAACACTTCAACACTAGTCAACCCCAGAATCCTCAGTCCACCACCCTCACCGAAGCTATGGGTCTTCTGCAGCTGATGATAAGGAGAAACAGAGCTGGAGACCAAAGCCATGGTCTCGTGTTGCATACATCTGATTATTTTTAATGGTTTAATTATCCCTCTATTATTTCATAAGAATTCTTCTACTTTCAGCCTGATATCTTGAATCTCAACCCCAGCAAAGCCAGCCTGCTCAGCCTCACTGCACAACCAGAAGAGCGTCACCAAAACGGACTTGGCCAACTAATCCCTAAATCTCTGTTGGGAGCAAGAACGGACGTTTGAGCAGAGAGCGGGAGTCCTTCACCTTGGCCAACCTTGAACAGTTTCATGAAAGGAGATACAACTCATAATTTAGAGGGCAGAAAGGAGATAGGAAGCTCTTATTCAACAGCAGAACCAAACTTTCTTGTCATTGCTATCTCCTGCTGCCATTAGCATCCTGTGCTGGGCATAGGTCCTTCTTTAGGGAAGTAATAGCCTGGCTGGAGAAACAAAACCTACGCATATGAAGAGATCACAGGCAACGCACAGCAAAAATATTTTAAACACCAACAACCACAACCACTCAAACCTACACATGCAGGGCGCCATTTTAAGCTCCTTGCATTCACTGAGTTGTTTAAACCTCACAACCACCCTTCATATAGGAGTGTGCTTATTTTATTTAATGGAGGAGGTATCTAGGACACAGAGAGGTTAAGTAAGTTGTTCAACGTCACACAGCTGATGAGTAGCAGCACTGGGATTTGAACCCAGGCAGTCTGACTCCAGACTCTTACTGACCAGTTGGGAAGCCCCCAACAAGCTAAAAGAAGATAGAAATCGCTTTCAGCTGGAACAATCCAGGAGACTTCCAGGCAAAGGTGAGTGGAACACCTCTCAAGCAGCTTTACTGGACAGTGACCCAGAACATGGTGAGTGCGCGTGTTATCTGTTCCTGACCACACCAGGCGGCTGGGTCCAAAGACTGGGTCTGACACCATGATACCTAGCTGCCCATGGCTTTGACACCATGATACCTAGCCACCCATGGCTCTGCAGTGTGATACCTATCCACCCATGGGTCTGACACTATGATACCTAGCCACCCGTGGGATCTGAAGTTCAGGCAGGACCAGCTACATAATGTGTCAGGCCCAGTGCAGACTGAAAACGCGGGCCACTCATTCAAAAGGTATGCAGCATTTCAAGAAGTGATGGCACAGCATTAAACCAAGCTTGGGGGCTCCTTTGAGCGTGGGCCCTGAGGAGGCCACTGCCCAGGGGGCGCCTTGGACTGATGAGTGGTATCCTGTCCCGACTGTGAATCCTAAGACTATGGTGACACCCAGCATGTGGGGACATCCTGTATACACATCGCTGCTGAGACATCAGGAAGCATGAGCTATCAGTCACAGCGGTTCTCGTCTGGGGGCAGTTTTGCCTGATGGGGGACAAGTGGCCATGTTTGGAGACATTTCAGTTGTCACAACCGGGGGGTGCACCTAGAAGCTGGTGGGTATAGGCCAGGGATGCTGCTAAACACCCTATAGTGTACAGGACAGGCCCCCACAACAAAGAAGGCGAAATGTTGTTTGTGCCATGGTTGAGAATCCTGATCTAGAAGCTGCATCTCAGCACTTCCCCGGGTATCTGCCAACCACCCACTCCCACAACACCTACCATGGAGTACAGGAGCCTCATGTGGTTCAGGAGCTGGGGGTCCACGTGACTGAGCTCCCTGAAGTCCATTTTCACCAGCACCGTCACATTGTACCAGAAATTCACTGGGTTCCTCTCCAGAGCTTAGTGAAGGCAAATGCTGATGGTTACAAGCCCCGGGACAAGACAGCGCCCCCTAGAGGCCCCGGGAGTAGGGGAGGAAGGAAGCAGGGGCCTGCATGGCAGGAGGCATGTACCCCCCTACAGGAAGAAACCTGACCTTGTGAGAAGCTCCCCCGCTTCATCCCCCTCCATCCTCTTCCTCCTGAAGACCATCAGAGACTACATGCCCTGGCCTGGGACACTTAGGGAGGGCCTTCCTTTACAGAAATACACTTATGATATATAGCCTAGGATATGTATTTAGACAGTGTTTAATAATTTATATATGCCATAATATTCAATAATTTAAATATTATAAATATTTTATAATTTAAATATAAATATTTTATAATTCAAATATTATAAATAATATTTAATAAGTTAGATATTATAGATAATACTCAATAATTTAAATATGACACCATATTTAATAGTTTAAATTTACAAATAATATTCAATGATTTAAATATTATAAAAATCTCTAATAATTTAAACTTTATAACTCTAATAATTTAATGATACTTAGTAACTATAATATTTAATAACTATGTTGTTGTTGTCATAGAGACCCCACATGACAGAGGAGAACTGTCCCATAGGGTTTTCTAGGCTGTAATCTTTAGGGGAGCAGATCGACAGGTCTTCCTCTTGCAGAGTTGTGGGATGGGTTTGAACCGCCAACCTTTCAGTTAGCAGCCAAGTGTTTAACTATTGCACCTTTTAATGTTATGAATAATATCTAATGATTTTAATATTATAAATGACATCTGTTATGGATTGAACCATGTCCCCCCCAAAATATGTGTTGTAATTCCTAACATCTATCCCTGGTGGTCCAGTGGTTAAGAGCTCGGCTGCTAACCAAAAGGTCGGCAGTTTGAATCTACCAGCCGCTCCTTGGAAACCCTATGAGGCAGTTCTACTCGGTCATATAGGGTCACTACGAGTTGGAATCAACTCGACGGGCGACAGGTTTGGTACACCTGTGGTTATAATCCCATTTGAGAATGGGTTGTCTTTGTTATGTTAACAAGACAGGATTAGTGTAGAGTGCGTTTTGAGTTCATCTCTTTTGAGATATAAAAGAGATTAAACAAGCAAGCAAGCTAGCAAAGATGGGGGAAGAGAGATGCCAAGCCACATAAAGATGGCCTAGGAGCAGAAGTTCAAAGAGACAAGGACCTTCCTCCAGAGCTGGCAGAGACAGAAAGCCTTCCCCTAGAGCCAGCACCCTGAATTCAGGCTTTTAGCCTCCTAAACTGTGAGAAAATAAATTTCTGTTTGTTAAAGCCACCTATTTACAGTATTTCTGTTATAGCCCCACTTGATAACTAAGAATTATTTGATCATCTAAATATTATAAATAATATTTTTAAATATAAACTTTATAGATAATATTTTAGATAAACGTATTGTATCAATATATATTATGTACATTTTTGCCTCTAAACATTGGCTCTGAACATTGACGACCTGTTCAGGGCACAGCACTTGCCTCGACGGCAGGACATTCCAGACCAGACAGGGCATACACGGCCGGCCAGGACTCCAGCCCCACCATGCTTCAGGAGTCGTGGGCTTGCACCTTCCCCAGATACTCCACTTCCAACAAACCCCCCCACCGATCCTCCGGGGAATTCCCTGGGAACACCTGGGGAATTCGGGTTATCCTTCTACCAGGAGTCTAAGAGGCCACCAGCCCCTTGTCTCCCTGAAATTTCAGTGACCAGATGTTGACCCAAAAATCTGCTCTGAATCTGTCCTCGCACGCAGATGCGGCTCCAGTGAAATCCGCTGCTTCTAGAACCCTCCCCGCTGAGCCACCACTCTCAGGAGGCCTCCACTCCCCATCCTGCAGGAATCCCCTTCCTGAGCCCTCAGACAACAACAGCCGCGGCCTACCTGGGGGTGCAGGGTCCACGCAGTAGTGGCCCCCAGACCAGTGGCAGCACTTCTGGAGTCCAGGGCAGTCAGTGTCCAGGGTGCAGGGTGAGGTGGATGGTCCCGGCTCCACTGCCTGGCAGATGCCAGGTCTCGATGCAAACTCCCCGGACCGGTTCAGGGCTGGGGGACAACACAGTGTATGATGCTGAGACTCTTCCCGCATCGGGGCTGTTTGCAGCACCTAGAGAGGCCACGTGGGGTCTCCAGGCTGGGCAGCCCCTGCTGCGTCCCACCATGCAGCCCCCAGGTCCCTGTTGCTCTGTCTTTAGTACAATCTGGCCATCTCTCCTTGAAGGCAACAGTGTCAGCTGAGGTCCTGGTGTCCCCTTTCCCTCTAGGTCTTAGGAATCCAGATGCAGGGGGTCCAAACCCTGAGAGGTCCCTTGCTGCTTCACTTCCTGATCGCTCACTCATTCTTCACTCATTCATTCAATAAACTCTTACAAAGCACCTACTCTGTGCCACACACTGCATGCAGTGCCCGGGACCCAGCGTGGGCCAGCAATGCCCTGCCTCTGGGAAGCTGAGATTCCAGCGGGGAGAGACACAAATGTGCAAACAGACAGAGAACACGGGAGGGGATGAGGCCATGCAGAATAACGCAGGGTCGGGGCAAGGGGTCAGGAGAGGCGTCCCAGGAGAGGTACCAGACCCTCCACCTGGGCTAGGGGGTGGGAGAAGCAGCCGAGCAGACATCAGCCCTGACTCCTGTGAGGCCATGACCTTCTCCTTCCAATCTTGTCTTTGAGTCACTCTTCACTTACTAGTCATCTGATGCTACCCCGATGCCTAAAGGTCTTAGAGAAATCAGGGGGCAGGGAAGGGGGCTTGGGGCATGAATTATGGGGCAGCCCGAGAGAGTGGCTTGAGGACGGAGATGTCAGGACCCTGGAGGGTCGCTAATCAAGACTCCAAAGGCCATTGCTTCACCTCCTAACCTCCAGGCTAGGAGACTTGGTGACTAGATGTAATGTGGGATCACCAGGGCAAAACCAGTGAAATCTGAATGAAGTGTGGAATTTGATTAGGTGCTCCTTGGAAACCCTATGGGGCAGTTATACCCTGTCCTATAGGGTCACTATGGGTCGGAATCGACTTGACGGCAACAAGTTTGGTTGTTTGGGTTTTTTTAAGGAGCCCTGGTGTCAAAATGGTTAAGCACTGAAAAGTCGGCAGTTTGAACCCACCAGCAGTTACAGGAGAAAGAGACTTGGTGATCTACTCCCGTAAAGATTACAGCCTAGGAAACCCTACGGGGCAGTTCTACTCTGTCCTATAGGCTGGCTATGAGTCAGAATCAACTCAACGGGACACAACAACGTGCCAGTGTTGGTTCCTTAGCTGTGACAAACGTACCAGGCTAACATAAAGTTCCGTGGTAGAATTCTTACCTTCCATGGGAGAGACCTGGGTTTGATTCCCGGCCAATACACCTCATGTGCAGCCACCACTCACCTGTCAGGGGAGGCTTGTATGTGGCTACAATGCTCAACAGGTTTCAGCAGAGCTTCCAGACTAAGATGGACTAGGAAGAAAAGTCTGGGGATCTACTTCCAAAAATCACGAAGATATTCTCTGTAACTGATCGTGGGGATGGTACAGGACCAGGCAGTGTTTTCGTTCCATTGTGCGTGGGATTGCTGTGAGTTGGGGGCCAGCTTGACAATGAAGCATCCTGACAACAATGAAAGAGCTTAACATTCGGGGACTCTGAGTGAGGGGTATACAGGAACTACCTGTATTATCTCTGCAACTTTTCTGTAAACCTAAAGCTACTCTAAACTAAAAAGTGCATTTAAATTAAATGAAAACACAAAGACAGAAAGTTGATGCTTCAGATGCTTATTACTAATTTATGAATGACAAAGCTGTTTGAAAGAATTGCTCAGAGTCTAGGCTGAAAATCTGAAATCATTTTCAGTAGGGGTTTTGGGTAGGATAATTGTCCAATAGTGTTTGTTTTAACTCTTTTCCAAAAAATGTCCGTTGGAAAAAAACAAGAAAGAAAATAGAGGCTACAAAAACCAAGAAGAAGAAGAAAGAAAAGAAAAAAAGGCTTCCAAAAATGTTTGTCTAATCACAACAGAAGTATTTTCAAGTTAAAGTTCATCATCTTAATTTGGTTGCTGCTGGGAATCCCCCTCCATCACTCAGGACTGGCTGGTCACCAAGTGTCCTAAGAGAACTGCCAACAATTGCACTTGGTAGAAAGTCTAAACCCTGCTTCTCCTTCCCCTAACTCACACAAACAATGAAACAGAGGCTCATTGCCTGGCAACTCAAGGTTAGTCCCAGTGCAGAGAGGCAGCTGCGGAGGTTTCTGTTTGAGCAGCAGCATCAAAGGCTCCCTAGGGCTAAGAAATCTGATCGGCTTGGGAATTATGGTTCCCGGGCCCTCCTCCTTCCTTGGCGTCTCTCTGTGTTCAGAACTGGGGGTTCTCACTAAAGGGCCCCTGCTCCTCAACATGGGGGAATGAGAAACTTGTCCTTAGGCTCCTGGTTCAGTGGAGGTCCTGGGTTTGTCCAGTGAGGGAGAATTTGCCAGAATGTTGAGCCCATGGAGAAGGTAGATGGTGGGAAACTGGGATGTCATGGATTGAATTGTATGCCCCAAAATATGTGTTTCTATACCTGTGGATAAGGAGCCCTGGTGTTGAAACAGTTAAGTGCTTGGCTACTAACCGAAAGGTTGGTGGTTCGAACCCAGCCAGCAGCTCTGTGGGAGAAAGAACTGGCAATCTGCTTCTGTGAAGATTATAGCCTAGGTAACCTTATGGGGCAGTTCTACTCTGTCGCATGGGGTTGCTAAGAGTTTGAAATCAATTCACTGACACCTAACTACAACCATATACCTGTGGATAGGAGCCCTGGTGGCACAGTGGTTAAGTGCTCAGCTGCTAACCAAAAGGTCGGTTGTTCGAACCCACAAGCCACTCTTCGAGAGAAAGAAGTGGCAATCTGCCTCCCTAAAGATTACAGCCTTGGAAACCTATGTCCTATAGGGTTGCTATGAATCCCAAATGGAATCGACTCAACAGCAATGGGTTATCCCTGTGGATGTAATCCTGTTTAGAAATAGAGTTTTCTTTGTTATGTTAGTGAGGCCGTATTATTGAAGGGTATGTCCTAAATCTAATCACTTCTGAGTTATAACAAGAGCAGATTAGACACAGAAGCACTCACATACTGGGAAAAGACAGTTACCACAGGAAGATCACCCAGGAACCGAGGAACACAGGGCTACAGAAGCCGAAAGGGACAACGATCTTCCCCCAGAGCCGACAAGAGAGTCTTCCCCTAGGGCTGATGCCCCGAATTCAGACTTCTAGCCTCCTGAACTGTGAGAAAAAAATTTTCTCTTCTTTAGAGTCAGCTAAGATGCCCAGTTCCCTCGTTGGAATTGATCCTGAGTAAATAATCCAAATTGGGCATAGCAGTATTTGTACCAGAAGATGTTCATCGCAGTGTTATTTACAATAGTGGAAAACTAGAAACAACTACGTGTTAACATGTTAAGTGGTAGGAGATTGCTTAATCAATGCTGACACATTCATATGAGGCCATTGAATCATTCTGTACTACAATATTTATCGACATGGAGAGATGCACAGGATGAATTGCTCAGTGGCAAAAGCCTGCTGTGAAAGATCTTGAACAGAGTGATCACACTTAAATGTAAAATATATGCACTGGATAAATACTAGAAGAAATTGTTGTCATTAGTGGCCGTCAGCCTATTTTGACGGATGGTGATCAGATCGCCAAGCCTGTTTTCCAAGGCACCTCTGGGTGTGTTTGAACTGTCAACCCTTTGGCTAGTAGTTGAGCGTCTAACCATTTGTGGACACCTCAAGAATATGCTAACAATGGCTATTTCCAGGCAGCAGATTTATGAGTAACTTCCCTTTCTTTGTGCTTCCTGTGTTTCCAAATTTTCTGCACAGAACATGTATTCATTTTTGGAATTAGGAACAAAATGCGTTTCGATAAAGTAATGTATGACATGTTAAAGCAGAGGGTAAAGTAGAGGGTCAGTGAAAAAAAGGAAGACCTTCAAGGAGATGGACTGACACAGTGGCTGCAGCAATGGGCTCAAGCACAAGGATTGTGAGGATGGCGCAGGACTGGGCAGTGTTTCATTCTGTGGTATATGGGGTAGCTATGAGTCGGAACCGACTGGACAGCACCTAGCAACAGCAACAACGTATGACTTATCATGGTGGTCCAAATGTTGGACTGAAAAATTGAAAAAGTCATTTAGACAGAAACATTGTCTTTGTTCCTGTGATTCTCCTCCCTTTGGAAGATAGTTTGCTGTTGAGAGGGTGGAGGGAGAAGGAAACAACCTGGCGATTCTCTGCTGCCTGGGAGCAGATGTCTGGGACTCAGAGCAACAGGTTGCCAAAAGGCAAGTCATCCCTCACTTTAGCAACCTTGAGGGCCCTGTGCCCAGAAGGGAGGGTGTCCTTTGCCCTCTCTCCTCCCCAAGCTTCCAGGCTGTTCCTGATGTCTACTGTGCCCAGGCCTCAGCCCTGCCTCACTCTATAGGAATCAGACCAGACCGGCAGCTTTCAGCTCCTCATTCACAGACACTATCTCTGTTCCAAGTAGCCAGCTCTCACATGGCATCTCCAAACGAGCTCTAATTAAACACTCAAACTTTGGTCAAAAGACCTACCCGAGCATGGAGAACACTGTGTTGGTGATGTTCTGGCAGATGGACCCTTGGGGGCAAGGGGAGCCCTGACTTATGGTGGTTGCCAGTATCGGTGGTGTAAATACTCCCACCTTGAGCAATTTCAAGCTACAATTGTGACGTCACTGACCATGGAGCTGGGAAGAGAAGCTCACCATTGGCCCTCGCATGGGGCAGGGGCCAGCTCCACCACTGCTGGCTGTGCCCTATACCAGGCCCTGGCACCAAGTAGGGATGGTCCTGAGGAAGAGTTCCAGGGTCCCCAGCACCCCTAAACATGCCTCCTCCTGCTCCTGCCACCACCCCCACCCCAGTTAAAGAAACAGTTGCCATGGAGTCGATTCTGACTCATGGAAACCCCATGTTGTCAGGGTAGAACTGTGCTCCATAGGGTTTTCAGTGGCTGATTTTGGGGAAGTAGATCACCAGGACTTCCTGTTAACCATTTGCACCACCCAAAAAATAAATAAATAAAACCCCAAAAACAAAAACCCAAACCCATTACCATCAAGTTGACCCTAACTCCTGGCGCCCCCATGTGTGTCAGAGGAGAACTGTGCTTCACAGAGTTCTCAACAGCTCATCTTGCAGAAGGAAGTCTCCAGGTCTCTCTTCCGAGGCGTCTATGAGTGGACTCAAACCAATTGTTTGGTTAGCCTCCGAGCACTTAACCGTTTGCACCACCCAGGAGCTGGCTCCCCTCAAATGCCACCAACCCCTCTACACTGAGGCAGAGCTTGGTGAGCTGGAAAACAATCTCAGACTGGGGGGTCAGCGAGATGCCAGATCCCAGGGTGCCTCTCCCTGCCTGTGTAATCCTGGTCGAGTCTCCCGCCCTCCCAGCCGATGTCCCCCATGTCTGCAGAGCTGCGATGGTTCCCCTCCTGTGGCTGAGGGAAGGAAGAGCGCCTCGCAAGGCCAGTTGCACAGGACGCCCTCAGTCACTCAACACTCGCTCTCCTTCTCCTCCATTCCTTCATATGTCTTCCTGGGATCCTGTCCACTGCCATTACAGGGACTCTTCCAAGACTCAAGAGCAGGGGTAGCCACACCCACCTGGGGGCGGGGCCTTCGGGCTCGCCCACCTTCCTTCACAGACTTGGAGCTCCTCCCCGAGCCCCTAGCTCCCAGCACCTTCCCTCACAGCGTCCCCCTTCGTGCTCCAGCCACACCTACTACAGCTCCCAGAGCCAGGGCCTCCCTCTTGCCCATGGGACTCTAACTAGAATGGTCTCGCCCTCTCGTCGCCTCAGAGAGCTCCTAATTAAAGGTGCCCACGCACTAAAATTGGGGCTGATCTCCAGAGGAGGCATCTCCTGTGGCTTGTTTATTGAGGAGAGAAGGATGGGGGGCAGGTGGTGGGGAGGGGTCATCCCTGTCACACAGCAGAAGGGCTGTTATACCAAGGCAGCATCTTTTCTTTAATTGTTGTAGTTTAAGTGAAAGTTTACATGTCAAGTTAGTCTCTCATACAAAAATTTATACATACATTTTTACGTGACCCTAATTGCTCTCCCTATACTGTGACAGCACACTCCTCCTTTCCACCCCAGATTTCCCATGTCCGTTCAACCTGACCCTCTCTGCCTTCTCATCTCACCTCCAGACAGGAACTGCCCATTTAGTCCATGTATCTACTTGAGCTAAGAAGCACACTCTTCACAAGTATCATTTTATGTCCCACAGTCCAGTCCAGTCTTTCTCTGAAGAGCTGGCCTCGGGAATTGTTTTAGGTTCTGGGTTGACAGACAGTCTGGAGGCCATGCTTTCTGGGGTCCCTCCAGTCTCAGTCAGACCATTAAGTCTGGTCTTTTTACTGGAATTTGAGTTCTGCACCCCACATTTCTCCTGCTCCATCAGGGACTCTCTGTTGTGTTCCCTGTCAGGGTGGTCATTGGTGGTACCAAGGCGGCATCTTTTACAGAAAGGTCAGAGACCTGCTGGAGTTCCTGAGTGTTGCAAACAGCTAATGCATTCGGCAGCTAACTGAAAGGTTCGAGGTTCATGTCCACTCAGAGGCACCTCGGAAGAAAGGCCTGGCATCTACTTCCAGAAGATTAGCCAGTGAAAACCCTATAAGCTCAGTTCTACTATGACACACACGGGGTCGCCACACGTAAGAGCTGACTCGATAGCAAATGGTATTGGTAAAAGGCTTAGGGTAGCAGGGGCAGTTGTGGTGTGGGGGAGTGGGGGTAGGACAAGCCACTGGTTGCAACGTCCTGAGGACCTTTCCAGCCCTTGGGGCCATGACCTTGTAGACCTGACTACAGCCACAAGTAGGAAGAAGTGTGGCTGCTCACACACAGACACCAGGCAGTGGACAGCTGGACTCTGCCCTACGGCTCCTTGTGTGCCAGGCCCACACTCTTGATACCAAGGTGCTGTGGCCTGAGGTCTTTACAGCAGTGGGTGCACCCCAATATGACCATACCCCACCCACTGCCCAGCAGAAGAGCTGCTCCCCGGGAAGGCAGCAGGACAATGGCAGCCCAGGTTCTAGCTTCTTACTCACATATCCCTAGGGAGACAGGAAGGGGGTGCCTTGGACCCAGCACCTGGGGTGGGCAGCCAGGGACAGAAGGTAGAGACATGGGGGAGCCTCTCCCTGCAAGCCCGCTTTAGGGAACCATCAGGAATAGAGAACAGGATCCAAATAGCTGGACCTCAGGTCAGCTGGCGCCAGCCAGAAAAAGCAAACAAAGCCACTGCTATGGAGTCAGCTCTGACTAACGGCAACCCCATGCGTGTCAGAGTAGAACTATGTTCCATACGTTTTTAACGGCTGATTTTTCGGAAGTAGATCACTGGGTCTTTCTTTCGAGGACCCTCTGGGTGGACTCAAACTTCCAACCTTCCGGTTGGCAGCCAGGCAGCTTAGCCCTTTGCACCATCCGGGGACTTTTCCTGTCAAACTGCTCAAACCTGAGCCATCAGGGCCCCCCAGGCCTGGCCCTCTGAGGGGTTCAATAGAAAAATGGCCTCACCCTGTGCTCTGGGAAATACGCTCAAGGTGACTCAGTGTGCCAAGGCCACGTGGCACTCTGCAGGGTCTGCGCTAACCCAAGTTTCGACGACCTGAACCCTTGGTTTGGGGAGGAGGCAAGAGGAGGGGTTGTGTGTGTCGGCGCCCTTGTCCTGGCCTCGGGAGGGTCATCTGGGACCCCATCCTGGGCCCCCGGAGCTGGGCTTTCTGCTCTTTCATGCCTTGGGATGGGACGCTGACATCTCACTGAGCCACCCCCTTCTCACTTCCCCTCCACCATGGGGGCACCTTCTCACTGAAGAGAAACTCCACTGTAGGTCTGGTGTTGGCTCAAAATTAACTACCACCATCCCCTCCCACCAACACACATGTGCAAACACACACATACCTCCCCTTGAAAGTGATCATCTAGAAAGTTCCCTTCGTGCCAAGACAGAGAGAGCTCAGAGCCCTACCCAACCCTGCCTCACTGGTACCCTGGCCCCAAGAATCTTACAGGCAGCAGCTTTTAAACTCACTGAGGACTGACGGTTCCACCAAGGTGCCTAGGGGTCAAGATGGGAGCCTAGGATTTCATCTGATGGAACATTAAATTATAATGTTATAAACCAGCAATTATAAAGCAAGGCTGAACATCTCTGCAGAAGAGATTGCAACTCTGGTTCTCAAACTCAGCTGCATATTGGAATTGTTTCGGAGAGCTTTTAAAAAACTTAATACCCAAGCTACATCTCAGACCAATTATGTCCCAATCTCTGAGGGCCAGACCCATGCATTGGTGTTTCTAAGCTGCCCAGGGGCCTTCAATGTGACTCTGAGAATTACTGCTCCAGAAGAGAGGTTCTCAAAGTGTGCCCCCTCATAGCCGTAGCCACCCCTGGGAACCTGTTAGAAATGCAAATTCTTATACAGGCAGTCCCTGACTTACCTTGTATTTGAGTTACAACGAACCACACTTACGACCATCTGGTTTTTTCTTCTTTTGTACATTTTATCATGAGTAATATGTACTACATACAATGTTGCAGTATATAATTTGCTGATGTTATCATTCTCAGATGTTCACTCACAGATGTTCAAAGACCGGATTTATTAAAATACTGGTAATAAAAAGGCAATAATAATGAAAACTAAAAAAAAAAAGAGGTATTCGACTTACTTCAGAACCAACTTTCTACAGTGTTCTAGAAGGTTCTAGCACATTCCAGGCTAATAGGCGTGAGCAGTGACTATCCCAGTGACTCATTGTGAGTCCCCACGAAGAGCTGCGAGCCAGAGTTCATCCCCACCCAACCCCAGCTCCAGGACTTACGCAGGACGCAGTAGAGACCCAGCTGCTCGTATCCCTGACAGCAGTCGGTCACGTTCCTGGTTTCAGGGACCTCCACCGCTAGGTACCGCGTCCTGTAAATGGTCTTGGAGCACCACTGCCATGGGATCCACCCGCCGCAGGAAGTGTTGGTTGAGGAGGATGTCTGGAAGGACACCATCTTCTGGACATTTTGGGTCACTTGGTAGTTGCACAGCTGGTAGCCCAACAAGGAAAGGCCCTTTTCTAAGAGGGAGGGAGGGAGGGAAGTAAGTAAGGGAAGACCAAGGAGCTAAAGAAAGAAATTAACACCAGAATCAAGTCGATATGAATGGTTCGCCTCCCCTTCTGGAAAAGCAAGAAGCACATGGCAAACCGTTCAGAACCTACCCACCAGCCCTCTCTCTAGGGCCTTTGTCTTCAAGCACTCGGAGAACATCTTGTTGCATTACCATTTTTTTATGCAAATAACGCACACCTTCTATGTTTGTTTACCAACTGCTCCCTCCCCCCATGACGTACTTTTATAAGCTACGCTATGAATTGGCATAGTGGCGCTTACAAAAATACCTCACTGGGGGAGAGATTGGTTGGCAAACAAACATAGAAGGTGCATGCTATTTGCGTAAAAATACAGTAGTGTAAACTAGAAAGAATGAAGCATAAAATGAACCGGGACGCTAAGTTATCCTCTTTTGCAGAGCATGGAGCTACTACCCTGGGCCCAACTCATGCTTCCTGCAGCCAATCAGTTGCTGTTAATTCAACCCTGACTCATGGCAACCCCATGTGTGTCAGAAAACTATGTTCCATAGGGTTTTCAATGTACGATTTTTCAGAAGTAGATCACCAGGCCTTTCTTCCAAGGCACCTCTGAGTGGACTTGAACCACCAACCTTTTGGTTAGCAGCTGAGCATGTTCACCATCTGCACCACCCAAGCACTCCTCGTCCAGCCTAGCGTCTGACAAAATGCTGAAGCAAGAACACAGACTTGGAACCAAAACCCTGGGACCCATGTCCCTCTGCTTCCTGGGTTCCAATTCCACAGGCTGTGGAATCTCAGGCCCGTCTCTTAATCTCCGTGAGCCTCAAACTCAACATCTTTGAAATGAACATGCAACAACCCCTTGGCCAATGTCTCCTGAAGGTCCTGAAGTTCTGCTACAGGCAGGCATGGGGGGCGATAAAACATTTTTTGGAATGAGGTGAAAATAAATCAATATTTAAGGCACGTGTGAGGAGGTTTATAGATGATGAAGTTCGGTTGGACTGTTACTGTTGTCATCAGACAAGGAGTTCACAGCTGCCCCCACCCCCCATGTAGGACAAGCATCAAGTTCTCCTTAGTCAGGCCCTACACATCTGTCATCTGGGAGCCCATGTCTTGTACACAAACACCCATCAACCCTTCATCAACATGGTGGCATGATTCTCAAGACCCTATGGCGGGTATCACATTCACCAGCCCTGCGCCTCTTTGTCATGAACTGTCCCCACGTGGTTCCTGGGCTCCCCATTTCCACAGGGAGCCTCTGTTGCCTTCTGAGACAGGAGCCATTGGGTGTCCTCTCCCTCCCCCTTAGCACCTAGGGGGGGTTCTCTGTATAGGCGGGCTTGCAGTGTAAGATGAATGAATGGTGTTATGGGTTGACTTGATTTCCCCAAAATATATGTCGAGGTCCTAGCCCCTGAACCTGTGAATGTGAGTCTGTTTAGAAGCAGAGTTTTCCTTTTGTTTTGTTAATAGGGCCATAACAGAGTAGGATGGGTCCTAAATCTAATCACTTCTGAGTTATGAAAAAAAGCAGAATAGACACAGACACATTCAGGAGGAGGACAGAGGCCTTGTGAAGATCTCTCTACAACCCAAGGAACACCCAGTGATATCCACAAGGAGGGACCTTCCACCAAGGCCAACACCCTGATTTGGACTTCTAGCCTCCAAAACTGGATACAATAAATTCCAGTTCTTTAAAGCCATCTGCTTGTGGTATTTGTATACCAGCAGCACTAGGGGACTAAGACAATCTCTAGGGTTTTCTAGACTGTGCTCCAGTATGGAAGGACTCCATAATATAGTTTATATCCCCAGCGAGTAGCTGGATTTCTGTGGGAGGAACTCAGAGGTGGCAGCAGAAATAACAACCACCCCTTCACCCCAGGTGAAGAGGGAGACCACGTTGGGCAGAGAGCAAGAGTCGTCCACTTGCCCAAGTGAGCCCATTCCACAAGCAACAGTGGCCATGCCATCAGGACTCCCAGAGGGACAGCCTGGTCACCTTTGGGTCAGCAGGGACTCCCTGGGGGGAAAACCCACTGTCATCTTCACCAAAGGGGCCAGTTACAGAGAGCTGTGGGAAGAAAGGGAAGGCTCCTCATTATGTGAGTGGAGGACAGAGAAAATTCACTTCCTCAGAGCACAGCAGCCTGGCAAAGGAGCCTGGATGAGGCTGGAGAAAATGGTCATAACGAACAAGGCAAAGCCCCAAGGATGTCAGCATTGAGAATGCAGCAAGCTAGCTGTGAATGTTGTTTTGTTTTTCATCCTAACTGGAGATGAGGTGCCAAGCACGTTAATGAAGGTTTACAGTTCCTTGTCTCTAGAGAGTCTCTGTGGCTCCACAGTTTCCATCTGATCATTAGCAGAGCCCTCCTCCAGACACACATGCATACACATGTACACACACACATACACGTATGCTACACATACATACTCACACACACTCATGCACACACACATACACATGCATACACAGAAAGACACGTGCACACTCATGCGCACATACATTCATGCACACATGCACACACACATACTCTGCGGTGCAATGGATAGCTTTTATATGACATTTCCCGCCACGGTCTTGTAACTCCCACCCAGGTGATTGGGTGGGACTATGAAAATAAGGTAATCATGGCCCACCGAGGGCCATTCCACTAGGTTTAAAATGAGCCATTCCATAAGTGGAAGGAGAGGATCTCACCACCACCAAGGAAGAAGAGCCAGGAGCAGAGTGCATCCTTTAGACCAGGGATCCCTGTGCTGAGAAGCTCCTGGAACCAGGGGACCAAGAGAGAGAGCTATAACACTGAAGACAGCAAGAAGCAGCTGCAGAGAAATGGCAGCAGCCAAAGCAGGAGACTGGCCGGAAATGGCCCTGCCCACAGAGCGAGATAGCTGAGTACTTTCAGGCAGGAGGCTTACTAGTAGAGTGGGGTACCTCGGGGCACTTATCTACAGAGCTACAAGAGCTCTGTAACACTTGCCAGAGCAGAGCAGAGGCCTAGAGCCAGAGAGAGGCGTGCCTGCGGGCACAGCTGAGAAGAGGCTGTCCTGATGGAAGAACTGTACCCTGAGCATTCCTGAACCTGAATTGTAACCTGTTACTTCCCTAATAAACCCCATAATCATGAGTATTATCCATGAGTTCTGTGTGGCCATTGCAATGAACTATCAAACCCAGCAGAGAGGGCCGTGGAAGAGATGGATGGTGTCAGAATTGGTAAAAAGGGCTGGAGAGAGGAGGTATGTCTGGCCTCTGCATCATAGCAATCAGCCTGATCTTGATTCTCCTTCTTCCTTGTAAAGTTAGAGGTCAGACGCTTCCGCCATGTCATTTTTACATACATATACGAACAATGCACGCTCATATACACATAAATACAATATGCATATACACAACACACACATGTACACAGGCAATGCATGCACACACACACACTCACACACATGCACACATATGTGTGTGCTCACACACATGCATGCACACACAAACACATCTCCTGTGAAGCTGCACTTGGAATCTATCTGTTTGGTTCTGTTTTGCACATTCTGCCAAGGTCACCCTGTCATCTAGGCAGAGCCCAGATCCTACCACTCAGCCAAACCCTTCAAGAACCATCAGAGCAGAGCTGGGGTCCTGGGATCTAGGGCCAGGGATTGGGGAGCTTTGGAGGGCACGTGGCCTCTGGGGCAAACAGACCCACGTCAGGGTTGTTGCATAGCCCTTAGCTCCGAGGCCTGTAGCGTCTGTGTTGAATCCTCACTTTGTGCTAGGAGCTTCACAGCGCAGGGACCCCATGTCCAAAGGATGCGTTATCCTCCTGGCTCTTGTTTCACGGTGGTATGAGGTCCCATGTCTCTCTGCTCGCTTCTTTCTTTTATGTCTCAGAAGAGAATGGCTTAAGACACAACCTATTCTTATAGATTGAGTCCTGCCTCCTTAACATAACTGCCACTAAGCCCACCTCATTAACGTCATAGAGGTAGGATTTACAACACATAGGAAAATCACATCGGATGACAAAATGGTGGACAATCATACAATACTGAGAACCATGGCCTAGCCAAATTGACACACATTTTGTGGGGACACAATTCAATCCATAACAGTGCCCTGGGTGACCTCACGTTGGAGGAGCCTTCCTCCTACACGCCAACCCGATGCTCTTGTGTCACCTTCGGGGCCTGCTGCTGTTTTTGTAGTGTGCACCCCACCTCCTTTTTGGTCACAAGGACATTTGGCCAAGGAGGAACAGGCACCACCTCTCAAAGCACCGTGATTCAACATGGTTCCATCTGATCATTAGCAGTGCCTTCCGCCAGACACCCATGCACACCCATGCACACACGCATGCACACGCAAGCACACATATCTACACATAAGTGCACACGCAACACACACAAACATGCAACACATGCACATACGTGCACGCATATTCACACACACATACATGCAATGCACACACATGCCCACTCAACACACAGTCACACCCAGGGAGCCTCCATTCCTCAAGAACCGCCCACACCAGCCTCCTCACCTGTGAAGCCGCTGGCCTGGGCTGGACCCGTGTCACTGAGCAGCACCAGCAGCACCATCCCGAGGGTCCCGAGCATGGTCTGGAGTAGGGTGGGCTCCAGGGCTCCACACAGCAGCCTCTCCTGAGCAGGAGCACAGAGGCCTGAGCTGCCGCCAGCTGGAGAAAGGGCCCTTGTGTTCCCTGTGCCGCTGCTGGTGGCAATGGCTTCAGAGGGAAAGCTCACAGGGAGTAGCCCCTTATGCCTGCTCATTACCGCCTGCCACTGCCGCAGCCATGTCCCCCGAGGCATCTGATGTCACAGCCTATTCTCACTCCAAACAGATGGCATCTCTTAGGAAAGGTGAGTACCCCACAGCCCAGGCCCCATCTCAAGATCCCATCTCATAGTTACGCAAAAAACACATTTCAGACCCAAATCTGACTCCCTCCATCAAGCTCAAAGTATTCCCTTACCCGATCGTTCCGAACTGGCAGGAGAAAACAGCATCAAATCAAAGTGGTTCATCAGACTCAGAAAAGCACCTTCAAACAGTTGATCAGTACAGCTCAAGAGCCATAAAGATGTGACTATGCCTGACCCAGTAATCCCCTCCTGAGGACGGATCTGAGGGCAATGAAGCAGGAGTCACAGATATATTCATCATTCATCATGATTCCAAATCAGAAATCACATAATTGAACAACCACAGGAGAACGGGTGAGCCAATTGTTACGCAGAATCTGGACGCAGTAATAATTGTACAGACGGTTAAATGATCAGCCTGAAGACTTGGTAACAGCATGCAAAAAATACTTGACCATGTGAAGTCAGAAAAGCAACTCATACTTTGTCTCCATAGATCCTCAACTCTGTAAGATTATATAAATGTGGACAAAATCTAGAAAAGGCTGTAGGAGAAAAAAAAAGGAACCATTTTTGGGGGATGACACAATTGCAGGTGATTTGCTTTTTATTTCAGTTGACATCAGGTTATATGTGAAATGGATTTTTAAATTTCGTATCAAACACTTTTCTAGTTCATGATGCCTCCTTTCTACCTTGGCTCACCTTTGATTTGTAATTCTCACATGCTCATGTAGGCACACTTGTATACTCACATACACAAACTCACACACTCATACATGCACACTTACACTCATAGACACAAACTCACACACTCATGGATGCACACTCGCACGCTCACATACACAAGCTGACACACTCATATATGCACACTCACACACATTCATAACACTCATATGTGTACACTCTCACATATGATAACTCACACTCACATATGTACACTGACACACGTTCACACACTCTTATTCTAACATGCACACTCACACATATTCATAACACTCACACGTATTCACACTGTCATAGATTCATACACATTCACGGTATTTAAAACGGAAGCACAGTTTTTAATATTCCATGAAGAAGGTCCAGTTAGGTTTGACTGAGAAAGCTTTCAACCAGGGTAAGAGATCCATTTTGCCTGTATGATTTAGAAGTATAATTTCCTTGAGTTTTAAATACAAAAAAATTCTTCCAGAAGGGACCTTCTAGCCTAACTCCCACATCAACATTGCTGCATCTTTATTCTTGGCAGATTAATCTCTAAGATGATTAACTGCTGCATTTGCATGGTTAATGAACTTCATGACAGATGCTGTGACAAGAATACAAAAAAGAAGCTAGAAATAATCACGCAGTTAAGCGGCTCAGTGGGACAAATATCCTTAGAAGACATCACCCTACATAGAAAACCAAAACTTTGTGCAGGATTGAGTGGTAAGCTGTGCTGTAAAAGAGGTTAAAAAAAGTATCACTAAAGGGGCAGCTCCTGCCCAGAGGCGAGATGGGAAGGCAGAGAGGGTCAGGAGCTGGTTGAATGGACATGGGAAATCTGGGGTGGAAAGGAGGAGTATGCTGTCACAGTATAGGGAGAGCAATTAGGGTCACATAACAATGTATGCATAAAATTTTTGTATGAGAGACTAACTTGAATTATAAACTTTCACTTAAAGTACAACAATAAAATAAAAAAAATAAAGTCTCAGGAAGAAAAGACTAGATTGTAAGACTATCACATAATATTCAAGAAAATAAAATTTGATCAGCACTAGTAAATAAATCCCCCACATGTCTGTCAGTTTGTCGTACTGTGGGGGCTTCCATGTCGCTGTGATGCTGGAAGATTTGCCACCAGTATTCAGATACCAGCAGGGTCACCCATGGTGGACAGATTTCAGCTGAGCTTCCAGACTAAGACAGACTAGGAAGAAGGACCCGACAGTCTACCTCTGAAAAGAATTAGCCAGTGAAAACCTTATGAATAACAGCGGAACACTGTCTGATATAGTGCCAGAAGATGAGCCCCCCAGGTTGGAAGGCACTGAAAAGATGACTGGGGAAGAGCTGCCTCCCCAAAATAGAGTCAACCTTAATGACGTGGATGGAGTCAAGCTTTTGAGACCTTCATTTGCTGGTGTGGCACTATTTGAAATGAGAAAAAACAGCTGCAAACGTCCGTTAGTAATCAGAACATGGAATGTATGAAGTATGAATCTAGGAAAATTAGAAATCATCAAAAATAAAAAGAAATGCATAAAGATCAATATCCTAGGCATTACAGAGCTGAAACGGGCTCGTATTGGCCATTTTGAATCAGACAATCATATGGTCTACTATGCCAGCAATAACAACTTGAAGAGGAATAATGTTGCATTCATCACCAAAAAGAACATTTCAAGATCTATCCTGAAGCACAACGTTGTCAGTGATAAGGAAGACCAGTTAATACGACTATTATTCAAATTTACGCACCAATCACTAAGGCCAAAGATGAAGAAATTGAAGATTTTTACCAGCTTATGCAGTCTGAAACTGATTGAACATGCAATCAGGATGCATTGATAATTACTGGTGATTGGAAGCAAAAGTTAGAAACAAAGAAGAAGGATCAGTATTTGGAAAATATGGCCTTAGTGATAGAAACGATGCCGGAGATCACATGATAGAGTTTTGCAACACCAATGACTTCTTCATTGCAGATACCTTTTTTCACCAACATAAATGGTGACTATACACATGGACCTCCCCAGATGGAATACACAGGAATCAAATCAAGTACATCTGTGGAAAGAGACGATGGAGAAGCTCAATATCATCAGTCAGAACAAGACCGGGGGCGACTGCAGAACAGACTATCAATTGCTCCCATGCAAGTTCAAGTTGAAACTGAAGAAAATTGGAACAAGTCCACGAGAGCCAAAGTATGACCTTTAGTATATCCCACCTGAATTTAGAGACCATCTCAAGAATAGCTTTGATGCGTTGAACACTAATGACCAAAGACCAGGCAAGTTGTGGAATGACATCAAGGACATCATACATGAAGAAAGCAAGAGGTCATTAAAAAGGCAG